CAGTGACCACCCAGAATCCCAGCAGCACACCCACTGGCCTCACACAGAACCTGGGCCACCCGCCCAGGATGGCTGTGAGCCCGCCTACCGCCTGGCTCCAGTCTCATTACAGCCAAAGCACTAAAAGGCTCCAGACCCCCTTGCCCCGCCCCCATGGTCCCGCCTCCCCAATTCTTTCCCCTTCTCCCCTTGCTCCCTTTTCCTCCCAGGCCCCTTGGGGGAGGAATCTACTCTCCTGTTTGGCCACTGGCTGGGAGGAAGAGGGTCCCAGTCTCTGGCTCTGCCCCACCGGAGCCCCCTTCGCCGGTTTGGGCTGGACGCTCCTTCCCTCCAAAGCCCTCTTGGCCTGGCCTCTTTGAGACACGTTCCATGCCTCGCCTGGGAGCTCATAAATACCAAGGAGAGGCCAGGCAGGCTGTGTGCAAAGTGTAGATTCCCCCACTCCGCCCCCCTTAAAAGCCCCTGAGTTCTTCCCAAGCTCCCTCCTCTTCCCTAGACACCTGCATGGGGTGGCTGGGGAGGGAGAGATGAGGCGGGGGACACAGGGGCCTGTGTGAGCCTGGCCCCATTTCAAATAAGACTTGCCTCGGTCTGCAAAGAAAGCTCAGGAAAGGCGTCTCAGGGCTCCTTGTGCAAGCAGCAGGCTCAGGAATTCCTTGACTCCCATCCAAACCTCCCCCCAGCCCCTTCTCGGCCTTTCTCTCTGCTCATTACCATCCACACCACCTCCCACCCACCAGGAAAGAGAGAAGGTCATCACCAAAGGGGCCCAGGGAAGGGGGGTCTCCTGGGGGGTCAACCCGGGTAGAGTAAGAGCTGTTTACCCACACCACCCGAACTCCCCTTAGCTCATCTCCACTTCCACCCAAGGGCCAGTAAAAACTCGAAATCATTTAGCCCCACGCAGCTGAGAAGAGAGTAAAGGAAGTCCCCATGGGGGAGCAGAGCTTGAGGTTAGATATCAAGGGGGAGGGAGACCCTTCCTTGGGAGACCCTGCCACTTTTGAGCAGGCAGGGAGCTATGGTGCCACCTTGAGGAAGAAGGGAGACTGGCTCTGGGAATGTCTCAGGGAATCTAGGAGGCTTGAGGGGAGAAGGGAATTCTTCCCCAGGCTTCTGTTGACGCAGCCGCTAAATCTGCCACACTGGTGAGCCACTCCTCAGGTGGCTTTATTGCATTTGCAAGAAAATGCCTTGGGAGGGGCGCCTGGGTGGCTTAGTCGGTTAAGCGTCCGACTTTCGCTTAGGTCATGATCTCGCGGATCGTGGGTTCGAGCCCCGCATCGGGCTCTGTGCTGGCTGCCAGCTCAGAGCCTGGAGCCTGTTTCAGAGTCTGTGTCTCCCTCTCTCTCTGACCCTCCCCTGTTCACGCTGTCTATCTCTCTCTCTCCTAGAANAGTCTGTGTCTCCCTCTCTCTCTGACCCTCCCCTGTTCACGCTGTCTATCTCTCTCTCTCCTAGAAATAAATAAAAATTAAAAAAAAAAAAAAAGAAAATGCCTTGGGAGTAAGATCCTTTGTCTCCTGTGTCATTTAGGATGAGCATTTAGGATGCTCTGGCCAGTGCTGGGCATACAGCAGGTGTTCAATAAGTGCTGAACCTGACTCTATGCAGTGCCCTCCAGATGAGAACTTGACTCCCAAATCAGTAACTCCTCCCCTGCCTCCCATTAGGGTGGAGTAGGGGTAGGGGTGGGAGGGAGGAGCAGGTCAGGCACTAGCCTGAGCCTCTGGCCTTGACCCTCCGCTGGAAGCCTCACAACAGGCCCTCGCGTGAGGAGCCGAGCTCTCCAGTATCGTCTAGGACCTTGAGACTGAAAGTTTATTTTGAGATTTGAAGTCCAAAGTGGCAGATCCCAGAAAACCTCTTCTCTGGCTCCGTATTTGTTCTCTAGTTAAGTGGTTGAGTGCAGCGCTTGCAGTCAGCTGGCTCCTGCGGCCTGGGGTCCTTCAGGGGAGTCAGGGGGCTGGGAGGGGGTGGGGGAGTGGGAGGAAGAGGAGGAAGGAGCAGAGCCCCGTCTCTTGGGTTGTCCACTCTAGAGCAGAGGTAGCCTGTAAGCACTGGGGAGGAGTCTTGTCCCCTCATCCGCTGCCCTCCCTCTTCGAGCTGCCGATGTTTCTGGGGGCCCCCTTAGCTCAGCTACATGCTTTAATAGTTGAGCATCTATGTTGTGCCAAGACACGGTCCCACTTGACTGTGAAGACAGCTGAAGCCAAAGAAGGGGCCTCAGAAGTGAGTCTGGGGCCCATGTGGGTGAGTCCATGCACGGTTAGGTCCGATGTGATCATCTCTAGCCCACCCCACAACCTCAGGCCCATATGTAGAAATAAACACAGGGCCAGAGTCACACCCAGGCCTAAGCACACAGGGGAGTCTGGGAGAGGCTGCCAGAGCTTACAGACCTTGTAGACCGCTGCCCAGCATCAGGGTGGGGCTGGGCTGGGAGGAGGTGAAAGAGTGGTCCAAGGGCTATTGGGGTGCCTGGGTGGCTTAGTCGGTTAAGCGTCCGACTTTCACTTAGGTCATGATCTCGCGGTTGTGGGTTCGAGCCCCGCGTCGGGCTCTGTGCTGACTGCCAGCTCGGAGCCTGGAGCCTGTTTCAGATTCTGTGTCTCCCTCTCTCTCTGACCCTCCCTTGCTCACGCTCTCTCTCTCTCTCTCTCTCTCTCCCCGAGAAATAAATAAAACATTAAAAAAAATTTTAGAAAAAACAAAAGAAAGAGTGGTCCAAGGAGAGGGGCCTGGCCAGGAGTGAGCCTGGGCCCACTCCTTCCTCACCTGCCCCTCTCAGGGAGGCTCAGCAGAGAGTCTGCTTCCTTTTGATAAAACACTAAGGGCTGCTGGAGACTTCCAGACTCGGAGAAAGGAGAGAAGGGGAGGGAAGGGTCAGCTGGCTGGCAGGAAGGGATGTGGCTGCATGCTGGCCCTGCTTGGTCTCTGTCTTCAACCCTCTCCCACTCCTATGCAACTCCAGTCCAGCCCCCACAGGACTTGGGCCACCCTGGCGACCTAGCTGAATGCCTCTCCTCCACCCCCCCCCACCCAGCTCCTTGGCTCCTGCTGCCTGCCCACCCCCCACCCTCCCATAGCACCACCCTTTGCATACCAGCCCACACCCACCACCCACCGCAGTGACTCTGTGTTGGCTGTACCCTCTGCTGCAGATGCTCTCCACCAAGAATCTGCCCGGCTTGTCCCCTGGCCTCCTCAAGTCTCTGCTTGGATGGTGCCTTAGTAAGCCTACCTTCAACATCCTAGTTACAATTCTCTTTTTCCCACTGTACTTACTCCTTTCTAACATATGGTATGTTTTACTTATGATGTATTATACTCTGTGTTGTGCATGTTCCCCCAGTGGAAGGTAAGCTCCATGAGGGCAGAAGGTGTTTTGTTTTGCTTTGTTCTCTAGCAGATTGTTGTAGCACAGTGTGGCACTGATAAGGAGTAAATAAGTATTTGTTGAATTAATGAATGCACTTTAGCCCCTGCTACCGAAAGTGAGGTAAAGGAGAGGTGGAGAGAGGGGATAAAGGTCCTTCTGAGCCCTTCTCCCCCATATCTGCCTCTGGGGTGTCTGCAGCAGCTCACTGGGCCGAGTCCGCTCACAATCTGGCTTCTCTAACACCACCCCCCAACTACCACGACGGCTCCCAACCAAGAACTGACAGTGACTTTGGGATTGAGAAGGGTGGGCAGTTTGCAGAGCTTTGTTTACACCAGGGCTTTATAGTTTAGATAAATCATGGGAAGAGACATAAAGACACCTGGGAATGAGGGGTTAGGCAGGAGAAACTGAGGCTGGAGAAGAGGTCCAGCCACTTCACTTCTCAACCCCCAGGTTGGAAGGCCAGGGCCTCTCTGATCCCAAAGGCTCTACCAACCTGCCTGGGAAGTGCAGGGTGAGAAGAGGGGCGTCACTTTCAGCAGGCAGCACCTCCCCACCTCTTCCTGATTCACCACGCCCCCCGGGGGCAGTGTGCAGGGGTGGGATGGGTGACGGAGGGGGTGAGGGAGCAGTGGGGAGGAGGAAGGGTGGAAAGCCGAAGGAGAGAAATGACTCCTGGTCTTCCACTCTCTCAGCAGGACCCCCCACCCTGGCCTCTGGTTCGCGAAAGCCGCCCAGCTGTTTCTGATTCTTTCGTACACGCAGCCCCGCCCGAGGGGGTGGGGGAACCGAGACACTGGGGTAGCCTGGAGAGACTTAAGTTCGGCTCAGCAGGGCGGGAAAGGGCGGGGAGTCCTCGTCCGGGCCGCTTGTGTGCCCCCGATGCTTCCGTCGTCGGTTCCAGGTCCACAGGCCAGAGGGGAGCACCGGGGCCAGGCGGGAGGGCGCGAACCGTGTCTAAGTATTGTTTGCGGGCAGGGGGTGCGGTGGGCAGTGGGTCGGTGGAGCGAGGAACAACAAGCCCTAGATGAGAGAAGCCCCTTCCTGAAGCCAGCTGCCCAAGGAGCCCCAGTTGGCAGCGCTGAAAGGGGGTTAAGAGCCTCCCACAAGGAGGTGACCGAGGTTCTACCCATTTCACAGAAGCGCAAGATCCGAGCGAGGACCGAGGAAATGAGCGCATCTTCCGTGGCTCAGCTCGGATGTCACTGTAGGTTAGAGGACAGGGGGAAGTGTCTGCGGCGCCCCTCACTCTGCGCTCCTGGCCATCACCCACGGAAGTTGGGGTTGCCGATTGAAGGGCGCTAGGACCCGGTGGCGCTGCGTCGGCCAGGATTGGGCGCTGCGGGGCTCTGAAGGGCACCCCCGCACTCCGTCGCACCCCGCCGAGGCAGGTGGGGGCGCGGCGCGGCGCTGCGCAGAGAGCCGAGGGGCGGAGGCGGCCGCCACACCTAGGGCGCCGCGAAGCGCCCGGGGCTGGCGCGGGCGGAGCCGCCCAGAGGGCCGCGCGTGTCCCCGGCCTCGGCCCCGCCCCGCGCCGTCCAATGAGAGCTGGCGGCCGAGGGGCTGTCCGCACACTCTGCCCGCAGCCCCACTCCGCGCCACCGACCCCCTGACACCGCGCCCAGCGCCGGGGCAGCGCGTCCCAGGCCCGAGCCTCGGCGCGCCGCCGTCGGCTTCCGGCACCCGTTCACTGCGCCCCGCTCCGGGACCCTACGCCCCGGCTCCCGGACTCCAGGTGCCCCTGCGTCCCCCGCCGCCGGCGAGCCCTATGGCCCCCCAAGGGGGTGAGGTAGGAGCAGCCTGAGTGCCCCGAGCCGGTGCCCCGTCCACGCCCCTCCGGGTCGCGCGGCGGGAGTCATCGGGGAGCTATGCTGAAGCCGGGTGGTGCGGAGGAAGCCGCGCAGCTGCTCCCTCGGCGCGCTCGCGCCCCTGTCCCCGCGCTCGCGCCAGGACCCGCGGCCCCCGACGGTTCTCGGGCTTCAGCCCGCCTCGGTCTTGCCTGCCTGCTGCTACTGCTGCTGCTGACGCTGCCGGCCCGCGTAGACACGTCCTGGTGGTGAGCACGGCTTTCGGGGTGGGGAGGGCGAGGCGCTGGGTCAGAGGCCGGAGGCGCCCAGAAGGAATACGCAGCTCCTGGCACCAGCTGCTCAGGAGACCAGGCTTTCGCTTCGACGGAGTTAGAGACGATCCGAGCCGGACTGTCACTTAAGTCGCAGAGTGGGGGTGGGGGTGGATAGGTGTGCTGCTCGCCCAGGGAGGTGGGCGCTGGGTGTTTGGAGCAAGGATGCCAGGTGGTCGAGGCTTTCCAGATTCCCTTGTGCTGGGCCCCCTCTATTTCAACTCACTCTTAGGGGGAAAGCTACCTTCCAAGGTTCTCTCAGGGTGGATTCAAGAAACCAATCGCCCATCTGGGGCCTTCGGTGGCTCTCCAGCAGGACCCCCTGATCACCTAACGTCGCCCCCCGCCCCTGGGAGGTGGAGAAAAGGGCATTTGGCGAGGGAGGTTGAGGCTCCCGCTAGTCTACCCCACCGGGTAATGCAGCGAGACTCTGGGGTTCACGCGGCAGCACCCTAGCACAAGGCTTAGAAACGGAATCAAGGGGAAAACACTCCATTAACTCCCACAATTAAAACAAACAAAACACTTCGGTTTGCATACTTTAGGCGTTTGTCTTCAACTTCAGCTTTGAAGAGGTCACTTCGAGCCTTGATATCCCTAACTTCTTCCTTTTTCTTCCCCCAGATGACCCTCTATCTCCCATCTCCCTTTCCCGTCCAAGAACTAGAGGCTTCCGGAGTCCCAAAGTATTAAGGGACCCTCCGCTCAGACTTCCCACAGGCCTTAGACTCCAGACACTTGACGAGCGGATGGACGAGGTGAAAGGCATTACAAACCCACTGGATGTCTGCTCTTTTCCGAGTCCCCCCCGCACCACCCCCAAGCCCGGGATGGCATTCATCCTTCTCTCTCAGGAGAAAGCTGCCCTACCTCCTCCCCCACCTTCTGGGGGGGGGGGGGAACTGGGGAACTGAACTGAGAAAAGACAGTCTTCTCATCTTTCCTCTTCACGTGCCCCCCCCCCAATCAAACTGGCCTCAGACTGCACTCTTGCCCCTCCCTACGCATGCAGTGCCCCTTTCCTTTCCTTACTTTGCCCCTCCTTCCCTCAGCCTCCCCACCACAAAGAGTGGTCTCTCCTCCCCTTGCACCCTGTGGCTTTCCTCCTCTAGACTTGGAATCTTGGCTAGAAAGGGTGAGGGGTAGCTTGGGCTGCAGATTCCTATCATTTCAAGATGCATTGCTCTCCATCCCCAATCCCCCCACCCCCCATTTTCCTGTTTCAGAAAAATCTCTCTTTTGGATCTTTTTAATCTCTGCAGTGTTGGGGAAGGCAAAGGGGGGGGGCTAGTTCTGGATGGGGGAGAAGGGAGGCCCCTATCTTACATCTGGCTTGAAACATTCTTTTAGAAAGGGGAAGAGAAGAGGGGACAGAGGAGAAAAGCCTTTCAAAGTTCAGAGGGAGATCAAAGCTATCAGGGGCTCCGTTTGTCTGGGGACTTGTGTGTTCAGTGGCCCGAAGGAGAAGATGGAGTGACTACTGAGCATCTTTAGCCACCCCGGATGGCAATCTGCTTTTAGGGACTCTTGATTGCTTCTTAGTGGTTTGAGAGGTCGTTTTGGGGACGACTTGGTGTTTAGGTGATGAAGTGTCCACTCTGATAATTTCAGCATCCTGATAGTGCTTCCTAAAGACCCAACTCGGATGCTTCCCAGTCCTCCATTTGTCCCTTGGCTACTTCCTCTCCTTTTCCTTTCTCCCTTCTACTACTCTCACCCTGCGTGGTTCACATGAAATGTTTTGGGGAAACTCTGGGTAGAAGAGCCAGAGAGGAGGGCCAGGGATACAGTGATAGGGAGGGACTCCGCAGTCCCTGCGAAAGGCAGCGATGGAGCCCGGATGGGGGGGTGAGTGCAGAGGTTAGTTCAGTCTCCTTTGCCTTACACCTGTCACAGCTCTGGGCCCCAGATGCCTGTCTCAGTGGTCATCGCTTCTGAGATAAAAGTGGAAAGCTGCTTTCTCAAGGCAGGTCAGGCCCCCAAGGTGATTCTCTCTCTTTCCTTTAGGAAAAAAACCCAGCAAGATTGATATTTTGTCCAAACCCTGAACGAGATGCCTGTTGACTCTGGGTGTGTCCGTGTTCCACTCTGGAGCAGAAGGTCATCACTGTCACCAGCTAGCAGTCTGATCGTCCCCGCAGCCCTTCCCTTACCCTCCAGTCACTCCTTTCCTCTCCCCACCTCTAACTGGAGGAGGAAACAGATGGTCTCTTTTTAATCTGTGACAAACAGAGCAAGAAATAGGGGGCTCCTTGCACATGCTCCCCTGTTCCATTTTGCATTCTGCAGGGGGCTGGATGTAGGGAATCCCGTGAGCGGGACAGCGGGCACGGATTCATGGAGGGAGAGGAACAGAGTATCATGATACTAGCATTATCGTCACCACCACCAACTGCCAGTCAATGAATCTTTACTAAGCTTTGGACACTATAACTACTTTACGAGCATCATCTTCTTCAATCCCCATAGTAATCCGGTGAGGTAGATACTGTTATTATCCCCATGTCATGCATGAAGAAAGTGAGGACTGGGAGGGGAGTGGTAAGAAACTTGCCCAAGTTCACACCAATTTTGGAGCTAGATTGCTCTATTTCTGGTTAAGCACTGTACGCTTCTCGTGTTCTCGGAATGAAAATGAGGTTGGACTTTGGAGTCAGATATCCTTGGCTCACCCTGGTTCTCCTCTGACTAGTCCCGAGGGAGAGAGCTGGGGATTATCACTTAATCTCCCTGAACCTCAGTCTCTCCATCTGTAAAATGGAGCTCTGTCTCGTAGGATTTTTGTTTAGAAAAATCTTTCATGAACTGTAAAGTACCCTATAAATGATGCTGTATTAAGAGATTCAGGGAGGGTAAGTTTTTATTCCTGTGTTCAAAGCCCTGTGTGGGCTGGGCTGAATTGTGTACACTAGGGACTGCAAGAGGGGAAATGAAAAGAGCATCCCTGGCCTCATTAAAAAGACACAAATATAAAACATCTGCAAATAGGCTGGCAATGTCAGCAGGAGTAAAGCTGTAATTGAAATGAAGTTTATGGCTGGCTAGGGGGAAAAGAGAGTTGGTGGTAAATCAGAGTGGTTAGGTGTTTGTTTATTCAACAAACAGTTATTAAGTGTCTACTGTGTGTCAGACACTGCTCTAGGTTCCGGGGGTAACGAAGTGAACAAAACAAAAATCTCTGCCTTCATGGAATAGGGTGTCTGAATCCCCCGGGGATGTTGGTGAAGATGCAGATTCTGACTCAGTAGGCTTGGGGTGGGGCCCAAGGCTCTGCGTTTCTAACATCCCCAGATGATGCCCATATGGCTGTTCTGGGGACCACACTCTGAGTAGCAAAGGGCTAGAGGAGGGCCTGGGTCACTTTGTCAAAGGAAGGGATGTGAATGGGTCCTAAGCAGGTGAAGGGAACGTTCTGTGACAGGTTGCTGGGAAGGAAGTGAAAAGGGAAAGGGAAAACAGAGCTAAAGTCAGGGGCATCTCTCCCCCTCTTACCAGCCAACGAGCCGCAGCTCTGTGCCCTAACCACTGAGCTCAATGCTTGGCACATGGTAGGCAGTTTGCAGGCATGTGTTGAATCGAGAGGGGACTCAGGCTCAGTTGTATTGGAGACCCCACCACCACCACAAGGGGCTGACCACTGGCCAGCAGGCCTGTGCTCTGCTCTGCAGAATTGCACCAGTGGGGCACTTAGTGAGGCTGCTTTGTGGGGCCTGGGTGGTAGCAGAAGACCGTAATTATCTTCCTGTCTTAGGTACTGAACGTTCCCACGCTTAGTGAGGATGTAACAAGAAGGACCAATGTGGGCTGCAGCAGAATGGATTTAAGTCAGACCACAGGAAGGACTTATTGCCAGAGTTTGGCCTGCCTCACTCCAGACTGTCTCATGAGGGCTGGATTACTGGTCTCCCATTCCCATCCAACCCCCCTCTTTCCAAGCCCCAGTAAAAAAAACAAACACCCATTGCTTAGAGTAGTATTTGGGCCGAACTGGGGAAGCAGAACGGTGGTGAGACAGGGACGGGCTCCAACTGCAACGGTCTCGATTCTCCAAACAAAGCACCGCGGCAGTGGGTGTAACTCCAGGCTGTGCGTCAGGCGGCCTTTTCCGGCCTGGCTGGGCCCGGGGTGTTTATTTTGTTTGTTCCTGGAAGCTATTGCCCTGATGGACAGTGCTGCTGGGGACGCTGATTCCATGGGATTTGTCAGTGGTGGGCCGGCCCTCTCACCCCTCCCCCGGGACAGATGGGCCCCATCAGCCCTGCTGAGCTCCAAAAGAGGCAAGCAGCAGCCCTCCTTGCGTCTGTCGGACTTGGTGTCACCAGCGGTGATCTAGTTTGTGGGTGAGGGCCAGGCACAAGGATGTGGGCGGAGGGTGGGGGTACCTAGACCCCAGGGCCGTCCAGCTTTTCCTCTCTCCCCACTGGCTGCCTTCTGTTCTCCTCACCCACTTCTAGGCCCATTTTGGGATCTTTCCCAAACCACAGGCTCATTCACAGCCCAGACCAAATCTTTTCAGCCTGTAGCAGCGGCTGCCCTCCCCCTTTACTCCCCACCTGTTCAGAGAAAGGGAGAGAGGTATTCATTTGATGTGTCAGGAGAACAGAGAATTCCAGAGGGCCAAGGAAGGTGCTAGATGTTGGAGACACAGCGAGGAGTGAGAAGTGGATGAATGGGTCAGATCTCATCTGGTGACCTCACGGAGAGAAGAGGTGATGACGCCCCCCTGTCTTCTTGGAGATGTTCTTCCCGAGGCTTGGGGTGGAGTTCCGGGCTCGGAGTGTTTGAGTGAAGAGAAAATACTGAGAAATTTGAGAGTGACTCTAGCAACCCACCTAACTTTTAGGAGCCCACTCCAACTGATCTTCTTAAAATTGTTTGAATCAAGCAGAGTGGGGACTGGAATATGGGGAGTGTCGCCCCGCTCGCTTTATCTTGGGGTGGGGTCTTCCTCCCCAAGACCTCAGGTTTGGGAGTGAGGAATTTTAGCTACATGGGTCTGACGAGAGCTGTAAACATGACTCAAAACTGCCCACGAAGTCCCTTCCCACTGCTCCCTCCGTGTCTCCATCCTTCCCTCCCCAAACTGTCTTCACGGATGAGCCATGAAGGACGTGCCTCTTACATGTGGGTGTAAGAGTGTTGTCTCAGACTCTTGTTTTGTTAGTTTATTTTTCTCTGAGGCTCTTAATGTTTATTAAATAAACAGGCAATGGGTTTGTGTGACATGCCTACGGCTTCTATGAATGTGACACATGCCTGGCCCGTGTTCTGGGAGTTGTGTGTCACTTGGACCTTTGGCTGGGGAGCGGAGGATGGTGAGAGACCACTCAATTACTCTCTGTAACTGCATAGCCATTTCTCCAGAGCTTGTGGGGAAAGCTGTACCCGTTGGCCTCAGGGAATGTGGGCTGGAGGAGGGGAAGGAACCTCTTCAAGTTCTGAATGCCAAACCTTCCTCTCCTTCTCCCCCTCCTGAGGCAGGAAAAGGGCCAGGATGCTCTGACAGGGTCATCTCCACCTTGCAGGTACATCGGGGCACTGGGGGCCCGAGTGATCTGTGACAATATCCCTGGTCTGGTGAGCCGGCAGCGGCAGCTGTGCCAGCGTTACCCAGACATCATGCGCTCGGTGGGCGAGGGTGCCCGAGAATGGATCCGAGAGTGTCAGCACCAGTTCCGCCACCACCGCTGGAACTGCACCACGCTGGACCGGGACCACACTGTCTTTGGCCGCGTCATGCTCAGAAGTAGGGGCCTCTTCTACCCTGCTCCAACTGCTTCCCTTTCTGTGCCTGGGGGGGTGAGTGGGTAGGGCAGGCACATTGTCCTCCCCTCTCCCACACACTGCCTCATAATCCGACAGACAGTTGCGGGCAGAGCCCAGGATACAGTTGGGAACAGACCCTCAGTACCTGAGATATGTAGGCAGGGACCCCTCTAAATTCTAGTGTTCTGGGATGAAGCACAAAGGTACAGAGTTCCCTACTGCCTCCATCTCTCATCTTCCCTCCCCCTTTCCTCCCCAAACCCAGCGTGAGGGTTTCCATGCACTGTAACGACTAGGAAGGCTGCTCCTTACTCACTGCCACCATCACTGCCCTCACCCCAACACTCCCAACATTACAGTAATGGCAGCAAGGGATAAACAGAAAGGTGATATGTAAATATTTGGAGAGTTGGTGGCTTGGCCCTGGCTTAGCAAAAAAGCTAAGCAGAAGCTAGACAATAAACTAGAAGAAAGGGAAGAATGGGAATCAGGAGGTATCTGGGGGACAGGGGTGATGAGTCATCAATCCCTGAGAGCAGGGTAAGAAGGAAGCAGGCGGAGGAGGGGGCTAGTAGCAGTTCTCGCAAACAGGCTGACCCCTGGGCTGGGGTCTCCATTGTAGGGGAACTGTCCAGCAGAGCAGGCCTGAAAAGGCCTGGAATGTGGACTGAGGCCGGCTTAGCTGAGCCAGGATTGGCACTCGGTGGGAGGGGATGACTCACTGTGAAACTTTTCAATGGATGGGTCCAGGGAGTTTGGAAGGAAGCAAGAGGACAGGTCAGCCCAAGAGGTCAGACGTACAAAGAAGCGGACAGAGAGTGCTGAGGGCCGCGGGGAAGAGGTCGGATACTCTGGGGAGTGCCTTTGGAAGGGAAGGCCACCTTGAATAAAGCAGGTGTGGGAGTTGCTCTAGGAAAGACAAGAAGAGAGGAAGTTTCAGAGTCGGTGAGTCGGGGGTTGTGTGGGCTGAAGAAGGGGACAGACTTGTTTGGTTTGCTCTCTCTTGTACCTCTACCTTTCTCTCTCCAGGTAGTCGGGAGGCAGCATTCGTATATGCCATCTCATCTGCAGGGGTGGTCCATGCTATCACTCGTGCCTGCAGCCAGGGCGAACTGAGTGTGTGCAGCTGTGACCCCTACACCCGTGGCCGACACCGTGACCAGCGTGGGGATTTCGACTGGGGTGGCTGCAGTGACAACATCCATTATGGTGTTCGCTTTGCCAAGGCCTTTGTGGATGCCAAGGAAAAGAGGCTTAAGGATGCCCGGGCCCTCATGAACTTACATAACAACCGCTGTGGTCGCACGGTTAGTACTCATGTCTACGTGTGTACATCCCTATCTGCTGGGGGTGACCAGTACATGTGATCATGGAGTGAATGTGAAGGTGGACATGCTGAAGGCTCCTGGATTGCGTCCAGAGGCCCCAACCCCCATGGGATAGGAGTAGCGAATGCAAGGGAGCTTGGGAATGCAAAGCGTGTAAAGTGTCTTCGCAGAGGTGGAAAGTAGGGAAAGGTAGAGAAGAGAAGGGAAATAACTTTTTAGGAAGGGGAGGGACCACCTCCATAAAGACTGAGTGGGGTAAGAGCTTGTTCTGGGCAGTTCACTGGTTTCTGAGCACCGTGACTGTGCCTAGTACTGTGCTGGGAAATGACAGGCTAGAGAAGGAGAAGGCATAGCACCTTAAACTCTAAAGCCATGTGGGGGCGCCTGGGTGGCTTAGTCGGTTAAGCGTCCGACTTTTGCTTAGGTCATGATCTCACGGTTCGTGGGTTCGAGCCCCGCGTCAGGCTCTGTGCTGACTGCCAGCTCAGAGCCTGGAGCCTGTCTGTCACTCCCTCTCTCTCTGACCCTCCCCTGCTCACGCTGTCTTTCTCTCTCTCTCTCCTAGAAATAAATAAAAAACATTAAAAAAAATAAAAATAAAAAAAATAAAGCCATGTGAAACTAGGGCATGCGACAGCATACTGTAATCACGAACAGGGTTCGGTGGCTCTGAGTTCAAATGGGTTATTATGGAAAGAAAGCACTGGTGGTCCAGGAAGGATTCATGGAGGAAGAGGTTCTTGAATGGGTGGGTTCTGATGGGGAGAGAACCCACTGTTCAGCCTATGCCAGACGTCAGAGCACTTGTGCTTGTAACCGTAGGGATGACTGAAAAGCACCCTGACAGGCCTCCTCTCCCTCATCTCCCAGGCTGTGCGGCGGTTTCTGAAGCTCGAGTGTAAGTGCCATGGCGTCAGTGGCTCCTGTACTCTGCGCACCTGCTGGCGTGCGCTCTCAGACTTCCGCCGCACCGGCGATTACCTGCGGCGGCGCTACGATGGGGCCGTGCAGGTGACAGCAACCCAGGATGGTGCCAACTTCACAGCAGCCCGCCAAGGCTATCGCCGTGCCACCCGGACTGACCTTGTCTACTTTGACAACTCCCCAGACTACTGTGTCTTAGACAAGGCTGCAGGTGAGTTAAGGAAAGCAGGTAGGGACATGGAGCCCTGGTTCTTGGTGCAGGTGCCCCTGGTCAATCACAGTCTGTTCAGCCACAGGAGTTAGGAAAGCAGAACCGTGGGAGGCATCAGTCTCCTCTAGACACAAATGTCTTATAGTAAGATTGATGACAGGGGCGCCTGGGTGGCTTAGTTGGTTGAGCGTCAGACTTCGCTCAGGTCATGATCTCACAGTTCGTTGGTTTGGGCCCCGCATCAGGCTCTGTACTGACAGCTCAGAGCCTGGATCCTGCTTCAGATTCTATGTCTCCCTCTCTCTCTTCCCCTCCCCTGCTTGCGCTCTGTCTGTCCAAAATAAATAAACGTTAAAAAAAAAAAAAAAAAAAGAAAGAAGAAGATTGATGATGAATGCCTCAGGCCACCAGTCCCAGTGCTACCCAAGCAGAGGAGAGGTCATCTCTCACTCTTCTATATCCCCAGCATCTGGGGGCACAGTGGGTATCACTCAGGGATTGTTTAAATGAGTCACCCCTTTTCAATACCAAGCAATGTGTGGGCTGCACAGAAGCATGAGGCAGAGGAACCCTAAGTCTCTGGCTCTTGATGATCTAGCTAAAGAAATGAGATGTAATCGGTGGACTGATGCAATTGCAGAAGGCACATGGCTGGAGAAGTCAAGAAAAGCTTATTGGAAAATGTGGGACTTAAACTGATTCTGGAAGTATAGGGGTCACCTGGACAACCTAGAGCTAGAGAGAGAAGCAGGCCAATAAGGAGAGTGGTAGGTGGGAAAGTACATGATTGTTCTAGGTACCAAGAGCTATGAAGAATCCGACTGAGTGAAGGTTTGGGATGGGGAGACTAGAGGTAGAAAGACAGGTGAGGATTGGACCATGAATGGCCCTGAAAGACTGTATCCAGTGCGCTGCCAAGGAAGATTCTGTAGTGGAGTTGGGGAAGCAAAGAAAGGGATCCCAGCAGAGCTAACCACTAGCAGAAAGCAGCAACTTGTTTTTCAGTCTGGTCCAGATATCTGTAGTGGAATCCTTGGGGATGCTGGAAGGTGATATGCTATTGCCCCCAAAGAGTAGAAGTTACCATCATAGCTCATATTTCAGGTTCAGGCAGGTTAGACGAGGAACAACCTGCAGTGCAAAAGTGCTGCTCCTCGCCGGGCTACTGTCATGGGCTCACAGGCTCTTCTCTGCACACTCAGCACTCGAGACTTGGGTGAGATGGAGCCAGGGACCACAGCCGTCTTTGGTTCTGCTTGTTTTCAGCCTTCACTGTCATTCCTGGAGAGTCAAATGGCTCAGAGCAAATCTGGGCACAGAAACAGGGTGGGGCTCCTTCCAAGTAACACAGAAAGTAGTTTGTGCCCTTTGGAGGGTGCCAGGAGAAAAGGAGTTAAGAGTCCTTCTGATTCTCTCAGTGATTTCCTGCCACTAGGTATGTTTTCTTCCCAGGTAATATAATTCAGAGGACTACTCTCTGAATGTCTTGAAATAATTCCATAGCAGCCGAGGGGTAAGCCTATGCTGCCATACCTAAAATGCACCTTTGGGGAAGGATCTTTGGAGTCAGAAGGAAGGGTGAGTCATAGATGTGTTGGTTTTTCTCAGAGGCGTAAAATTAAGTCTCCTAAAACCCAAAGTGGGGCCTGGAATTCAAAGGGTATAAATCACCCCAGAAAGGGGTATGGAGCCACAAATTTCTGCCAAAGCAGTCCTGTCCAGCGGAACCCTCTATGATGAGAGAAATGTTCTACATATGTTTTCCAATATGGTAGCCACTTAGCCACACGGGATTACTAAGTATCTGAAATACAGGTATTGTGACTGAGAAGTTAAGTTTTAAATTTTAGTTAATTTAGAACTAAATGACCATACGTGGCTGGTGACTATAGCACTAGACAGCTCAGCTCTAGAGTACAGGAGAGGATTTTGGTGCACAAGAGAAGGACTTAAGATCCAGCCCTTGGAGTTAGAGGAGAGTACTTAGATAGTAGAACTAGTTAGCCCACACTCTGGAAGAGTGGCCTCTAACATTTTGGATTGCATACTCTTATCATTAAAAAGTTATTTGAGCATGTACCTCTAATATATGGATATTTACTTTAAAAGGTATCTATGTTCCACTGTAATAATATGTACTTTATAAAACATACAAAGTAGAGATTTTAAATTTATGAGATAAAAAACAAATGTAGAAGTTCTAAGTTCTAGCACTTAAAAATTTTTTGTAATGTTTATTTTTGAGAGCGACAGAGCATGAATGGGAGAGGGGCAGAGAGAGAGGGAGACACAGAATTCAAAGCAGGCTCCAGCCTCTGAGCTGTCGGCACAGAGCCCAATGCGGGGCTTGAACCCATGACCCGTGAGATCATGACCTGAGCTGAAGTCGGTTGCTTAACCAACTGAGCCACCCAGGCACCCCTAGCATTTTCTTTGTGTATTGCAGCAGGATGCACAGACTACTGCAAGACAATCAGTCAATCTATTCCCCTTCCTCAACTCCTAGGTCAGTTCCTGTCCCATCTCTGGGGAAGGGTTAGAACAGACAGAAGTTTCTAGGGCCTACCCATCCAACATTCTGTGGTTTTACATTTGTTGGCAGGACCTCTTTTGCTAGAATTGGTCAGAATGAAGTCCTAAGCACCCTGTGTGCAGGAAGATAATATCATTCCTACCCTTCAAGAGCTCCTACTGTAAGGGCTGAGCAAGGGGTATTCTGTAGGAATCCCATAGGGAAATGCCTTTGGACAGTCACACTGACCAGTTCACTTCCTCAGCTGAACAGAGATTATAGATATAACAATCCACTGAGTTAGATGCTATTACTATGCCTGTTTTCATATGAGAAGATCAAAGCCCAGAGAGATTAACTTACCTAGCTAAGATGTGGGAGGCCTGGAACTGAAATGTGGATAGTCTGACAGTAAAGCCCATGCTTTTAATGCCTTCCTTGTATGGTACAACTCAATAAAATGTAAACTAAGGGCCAAAATACTAACAAATGGTAGCTGCATCAGAGTTGTGGCAAGACTTCTTGGAAAAGATAAATTATAGGCTGTTGTTTTTTTGTTTTTTTTAACTGTTTAGTATGGAAAACTTCTCACATAGGGAGCCCTTATCCAGCTTTAACAGTTAGGAGCATTTTAAGGCTAGTTTTGAAGGAGACGTGAAGTGTATTGGCATGGTAGGTGAAATCAATGGTCTTTGGGGAGGCTTGACGGTGGGAAGAAGCCAGGGTGGTGCAGAGGGAAGTAAAGAGATGGTCATTTTGGCCAGTTGGGCATATTTTCAGGAAAAGGGATTCTTTATGGTTTCCTCATGAGGATGTGGGTAAGGGAACCCAGAGCAGCTGAAGTAAGAGGTAACTTGGTTCTCACTCTCTCTCTTCCCCAACCCAGGTTCCCTAGGCACTGCAGGCCGTGTCTGTAGCAAGACATCCAAGGGGACGGATGGTTGTGAAATCATGTGCTGTGGCCGAGGGTATGACACAACTCGAGTCACCCGTGTCACCCAGTGTGAGTGCAAATTCCACTGGTGCTGTGCGGTACGGTGCAAGGAGTGCAGAAACACTGTGGACGTCCACACTTGCAAGGCCCCCAAGAAGGCAGAGTGGCTGGACCAGACCTGAATGTAGAAATACCTCACTTATTCCTCTACTTCAAACCTCCTGGCTCAAAAGCACAAGATCTTTGCATGCACACCCTCCTCTACCCTCAACTCTGGGCTGCTACAGTTTCTATTTAAGGACTTGGAGAGTAATCCAGAAGGACTCTGGTGTCCTGACTGGTTCCTTAGCCCTGGGAAGGAGTTGACAGGGGATGTAAGAAACTGAACAGCTCCCTGACTACCCCCTCTGGAGGTTGGAAGGGAGAGGGGAAGAGGTAGGGGCCTTCAGAGTGATATAAGTTGCACTAAAGCACATGGTCAAGGCTCATTTTTCCTTTCCTTTGCACTGGCTTCCTGACACTTCTTATGTGTGCAAGAGGAAGGGTACCTGGAGAGAGCTTCTTCGTGTTCCTACCTGACTAAGGGTAGATGGGACAGAGAGAAAACCACATCTCTTCCCTGAGTCAGTTTGCCCGGTACCCCAAAAGAAACTCTCAGGCTACAAACTTCTTCCTGGGAGAGCCTGGGATTGCTAGATAAAAGTTAGTCCTAGTGGACACGGTCCCATTCACATGCTCATAGGTTTATAAACTGCTGTATTTTTTAGGGGAAAAAATTATATAACTATACAAACATTCATTCTCTTACAATCTCCCTCTTCTTTTCAACCTATATCAGATAGCACTGCCTCTTGCTCACTTGCTGCCTGTTCCAGCCAAGTGGCATGTAGTGGTCCTTATGCCTAACAGATCACTAGAACACTCCTGAGAAAGAGTAATTTAGTAAGCCTGCCTAGGCCTTGGGATTTTATTTTATTTTTGTAAAGTTTCTATGTGCTCTTTTGGAGGTCAACTAGGTTTGGGAAACACTATTAGTAAAAGATATGTGACTCATGGAGGGTGGGAGAAGATAGCAGGCCTGATCTCAAGGGTCCCACATGAGGCATCAGTGTATACTAGTCAGGTAGGAATGTCTGGTTTTGACAAGTTTTAGGAGAGAATCCTAGTCTCTGAAGTTGGGCGTGGAATCCAGTGGCTACAGCGGAAAGCAGAGCTGGGGCTTTGGGGCCAAAGTGGTACACAGTTTAGAAAATCACCTTTCCACATTTATTGAACAAATTTGAATTTAGTGGCTCTGTAAGTTCTGGGGATTATTACTGTTCACTCCATCTTTGGTTTAAACAGGGGAGTTCCTTCTCTGCTACTACCTGCTGCCTAACTAAGCTTCAGTAGCGGAGTCTCCAGAGACAGCAGGCTTAGTAAGCCACGGGCTAGGACACAGAGTCCCAGAAACTGTGATGTCCTATTTTTATGTGACTTGGACAATGGAAGAACAGAATGGTATAGAAATTTGCAGTTATGATAGACCTGGGTTGAAATCACAGCTGTGCCATTTACTGTTTTTGATATTTTGAGCAAGATACCCAAATTCTCTGAGCTTCTATTGTCTCATCTGTAAAACAAGGTTATAAACATCTCAAATACTGAGTTTTAATTATGGCCCCAATTCCATCTAACAGATGCTCTTACCAAAATTCCTAACTGGTCTAGCCCATCATGACTTCTCTTGGAACCTCCCATTTAGAATTGTGAAGTATTGACAGCAGGATGTTGATTAAAGGGCCTACACAAGGAATTCTGAACATAGCATCCCCCCCCCCCAAGTTCCTCCCCAACATCCCTTGGGGTCCTCACGTGTTTGTGGAGCAGCTTCACTCTGCACAGGCAGCAGAAGGATAGGGGAGCCAGAGCTCTGGGCCATGGGGGCAGATTTATTTGGATGATAGGACTAATATTTGTGTAACCTGCCGAGACCTGTGTGGGAGAGTTTAGGGTGGTTTTTCTTTTGGTGAGGGGTTTGCTCCGGTTTCACATCCATTAACACAAAACATGAGCTAGTCAGGGCCCTTGTGGTCTGCGGTGAGGGGATTCCTGTGGAGAAATGGGACTGAGTGAGTCAGGCCAGGGGAATGTCTTCCTTGCAGAGTGGAGTCAACTGGATAACTGATGAGCCAATGGTGGGATTAGGGAGGGGGAAACGGGAGGGGAAGAGAAGAGCTTCTGACATCTTGAGCTGGGATTAGGAGGAGGAAAGCCTTAGCATAGTGGGAAGGTAAGGGGGTCAAAGTCAGTCTGAATCAAGAATACAGCTGAAGGAATTTACATCAGGGTCTTTGCATAGAGCCTCAGGTCCCAGTGAGCCCCTGCTCTCCTAAGAATGCCCAAGTTACCACATAAATGATAGCTAGGCCTTCCTGGGACTGCAGCCCAAGTTCAATCTGCCTGTGCTCTGTCACCTATTCCTTTTCAGTTCTTACCCCCATGGAAGCAAGTGAGCCTCCTCTGGCATCTCACACTGCTCTATGCTTCCCCTGGGCTCCAAATTCTAGTTCATAAAGACCCACATTTTGTAATTTCCTATAAATGGTTAAGAGGAAAGCAAGCTGTCTAGAGAGTGAGAAGTTTGAACAGTGGGGTGGATAGCGAGAGAAGAGAGGTCCATGTGAGCCCCACTACAGAGGCAATGTGGTCCCAAGAAGGAATGATGGCCAAGCAATTAATTTTTCCTCATATTTCTTAGCTTGCCTCTGCATTGTGACTGGCTTTGGACAACTGGCGTCCATTCTGCAATAAAACAAACAGAAACTAATTTATCTGGAACAAGCAGCAAAAGGAGAACTTTATTTGGTGCAGTCAGGCTCCATTTAGTCCTGCTGTCACCCACTCACAGCGTCTAACCCTCTCTCATGACCCTCCTCTGGTCCGGAGATTTCTGTGCCTCCAGCCGCAGTCTCTTAGCCCCTCTCTGACACTCCTTCCTGTCCTGTCCATCCTCATTACTTCTAACTTTCCACATTTAGGTAGAATGCATTGCAGAAAGTGCTGTTTGGATACAAAGTTAACTTCAATGACACAATCTCTATCCTTTAAAGATCTTAGACTGTTCTAGAGAAGGCAGGTGACTCACGTACCTCAGCTGCACAGCCTGTGGCCAGTTGCTCTCATGTAGAAGTAAGAATGCCATCTTTAATCTAGTCCTGCACTATAAGAGCCAACTGCTATTATTGCTAGCCTTGAATAATAGCGCTCGCCCTTATGCTTTCTTAGAATGATGCTGGAAAAATGAAATCAGGGACTTCAGGTTATTTTTTTTTTTTTAATTAAACACTGCCTGGCCCTGAACGTGTTTGCAAAAAGTCTTGTAGGTCTGACTCATGACCACTTACGGCCTCATTTTTCTTCCTCCCTGCTGCAGAAAGTAATCTCTACTCCTTTTTCTCACCTCCCTTAGCAAGAACACCAACCACTGAGTCTTCTGCCAAATTCTCAGACCCACTCAGGACACTGGTTTCTACATAGCTGAATATAAGAGAGATAATCCGGATTTTTTCCCCCTCAGCCTGAGGTTTCTAAACACCCTCAGTGGTCATAGGGCAGGAGCCCAAGGGAGGACGCCAGGGAGAGTATGTTTCTCATCCCTGGGAGGCCGTCAGCCTAGCTCCTGCAGCCAAATTACAGCACCAGAGAATAATGTGATGCATTCCTGGGCAGGTCGGTGGGACCCTGGGCGCCTGGGCCTTGTGGAGAGAGGTGCCAGACACAGAGCTCTCCGTAAGCAATCCTGCAGAGCCGCCCCCTGGGTGCAGAAATGAAATACGGGAGAGCTTCACATTACACGGAGACCTGTAGCTCACACCTGGTTATTGATGGCCTTGGTGGAGGCCTCTGCCCCCTCCCTCCACTTGGGAACTGCCTGCTACTACGGGGGCTGGGCACCTTTGAAGCAATGTTGGAAAACAAGAAAGAGATGCTTCCTTTCCACTCTTTGCTCTCCCTGCGAGCCTGCACACAACCGTGAGGACGCGCACGCGCGTGCACACGTGAGGTGCGCTTGCGTGGACACGCACGCAAGCTTCGCTCAGGCTGCAGCAGCGTTCTAGTCGTCCCCCGTCTCTAACGATCAAACAAGCGACTGGATTTCAATCACGCCCTTCAAAATTCCTGCCATTATCATTATCAGCGGTTCAGCCATTACCAAGGAACATTAAACATTTCCGTTCTCAATATGCAAGCTGCTGTGTGGTTTGGGGACTCCTATTTCTCCAGGGAGGTGGCAGAAAAAGGATGCAGAGAGGACATGGAGAGGAGAGATACTACCACCCGGTCCAAATGGCTAAGACCACGCTGGAGGTAGTGCAATTTGCGCCCTGTGTGCTAAGGATATGGCACACAGCCTCCTGGGGCCGCTCGGGGGGTGTACTCCCCAAGCCAGTGGCCCACGACCTGTTGTTTTTAACGTTTATTAGGTTAGAAAACAGGACAGCTTTGGGTTCCAGGGATAATCTCCACAAGAGAGGCAGTGGAGCGGAGCAAGCAGTGGCTTTACTAGGGTATATTTGTCACAGTTGCTGCACTGACCTGAGCTTTCCCAGAAGCTGCTATCCTCCTTGGGTGACTGGCGGGTTTCAGGTACTAGTCGGTGGGGTGTCAGTAATATGCCTGCCCCTGACCCCAGAGGTCAAAGTGATAGAAGAGAGGGAGAGTTTACAAGTACATTTTTCCACTTCCCATTCATGGCTCAAATTATCCCTGAGCATCTTTGTGGCTCTTCCTCACTGAAGACGTATCAGTCATCCTGGAGTTGAGAGAGCAAGGGAAGCCTTCTCCCCTTGGCCCCCTGACTCTGAACTACCCTTTGCTCTTTTCCATTCTGCCTGTGAGTCTATGGATGGAGCAGCTGGACATGGAAGTTCTCTTTGACCAAAAGGAGCTGAAATCTGGTGACTTTACTTCACCACTACCAGCCCCTCTAAGCAGGCCTGAGTAAACAGAAAGGCTAAGCTGAATGAAGAAAATGGGAAGACCATTTAGGCCACAACTCAAGGTGGGGCTTCCCTGAGTATAATTATGATGTCTTAAGAAGCTTTATCAGGTACAAAAGCTTTCCCATGGACTTAGTTTTCATACCAGTTTTCCCTGTGAGGCAGGAGACACTCTTGTTGCACAGGTGCTGTTCAGAAAGGCTCAGTGATCTGTCCCAGGTCATGTGATACTGAGTAGCTCAGAAAGAACTCAAATCCAGGGCTTCTCACTTCAAACCCTGTGTGCTCTCCTCAAACACTGACAATATCTAAGGCTGGAGGTGTCAGAGTCCCAGCCCCTTCAGGACAGAAACTGACACAAAATATTCTAGGAGAGTATGTCTGAGCAGAATTTTCAAAACGAACAGCCAAGGCCTTCCCTAACCACATCAGCACATCCCCTTTTGGTCATTGCTGTTGCTATTGCCACCACCACAAAATGATCACTATGCCAAGCAGTCCGCCTTTAATCACCTCTGGCTCCTAGTGCTTTCTGTGCCTTTTTTTCTTCATCGGATTAATGCTTTTAACATTTGTTTTAATTTTATCTATTTCTTTTAAAGTGATGCTAAGTGCACAGAGTACAAGTAGTCTGAGAATCCATGAGAGGAAGTTATCAAGGCTTTGGGCTTCTAAAGTATGTATTAGAATTTCCTTTGAGATTTTACTCTGTTTTTAAATGGCTGTCGACCCCTGGGCTAGGAAAGTAAGAACAGGGAATGACAGTGCTAAAAAAAAAAAAAAAAAAAAAAAAGAAGTCTTATCCCAGGCCACATGCCTACTCATGGCCTAAAAGTCCTGGGACCTCTAGCTGAGACAGGTAATTTATCTACACCAAGGCAAGGAGAGTCCACCCTGCCGAGAAACCCCTACAAGATGAGGCAGACAACAGCTTTTTACTTGATCAAAAACTTTTGCTCCTCTCAACCCCTCCTCCCACCCTCATTCAAAATCTGGACTTCTGTGTGGGTCCAAGACAGTGAGACAAAGCAGTTCTAAGAGAGGATATGTGCAAGGGGAACCCTTCCCTGCTCAACCCTGGAATGCATTCCTTCAGGAGCAGCATAAGCCTGCACATACCCTACCTATCCCACTCCCGCACCCCAACTGTGAAGGCAGAAGGGAAAACTGCAGGAACACAGTGTTCATCCATCACAGACCCGGGCCCCCACCTGAGCTAGGGGAAGGACACCTCATGAAAACAGTCTACCTATAGTCAGGATCTGTCCCAGAGCAAACCTTACATTTTTGGTCCATCGATCTTGGCTCTCACTGCTCTCCCTGCTCCCCACCCCCACAGCCTCCGCATGTGGGCTCAGAAGTCATCATCTAAAGAATTCCACTGCTCACCTCCTGCATAGCAGCACAGCCCCATGAGGCCGCACACCAGATGGAGGGGATAAAAGTACGAGGTCATGGCTTCTAGCAAGAGGCTTTTTCTTAAACTAACCCTGACTTCTGGAAAAGAGGCAGAGCAAGAGAGTGTCGGGTGAGCTGCTGACGACAGCAGCTTCGTGGGTCTTGTGTAAAAAGGAAGGAAAAAGCCTTCATTAAAAATTTCCCTACTCCCATCCCCAGACCTATTTCTGATCCCACATTTACTTCGTGAAGGTGTCTGAGTAGAATGCACAGACTGTGAAACTGAAGGGTTAGATCCTTCCATTTGTAGGAACCTATTCAACAGGCTGCCACACACATGCTGAGGTGGAGGCCAAGCCCTGAACGTGTCCTGTTTCTCCAGGAATTTAGCTCCGATGTCAAGGGCAAAGCTATGGAAGGTGGACTAGAACTCAGGGAAAACTGAGCAGGCTGTTAGCAGACCTTCAAAATGTTTGTGTGTATTAAACAAAGACAAGAGGACAGAGGAAAATCACCATTCCTAGTACCTCCATGCTCGGTGAGTGACAATGTACACAAGCAGCAATCACAAACGAAAACCAGTCTGAGGAATGGACCGCGAAACAGACGTCTCCGGATAAAGCAATCAGGTGGAAGAGATTAATCAGACTTTCTACAGGGGCGACTTCTGAGTTGGAGTCTTAAAAGATAAGGTACGGACTGGTGAAGGGCAGTCAGAGAAGGCGTTCTAAAGTAAAAGACCTGGTATGTGCTGAAACGTAGAAGCAAGAATGTGCAAGCAATATATAAGGAATTTCAAGCAAGTACATATTATATACACTGGGGACCACAGAGAAATCA